TTTTTTCCTTCCCATTATCTCGTTAATGATGGAACACGTTTTCTTACAATTAGATTTGAATTTAATGATTTCATTACTGTAGTAGTTTCAGTACTGTATTTAATTTTCAGTACTGTATTTAATTTTCAGTACTGTATTTAATTTTAGCTTTTTTAATAAGATTTTGGTAAAAATATTTATAATTTTTGTAATTTATCTCATTATCAGTGTTTTTTTTTGTTAAAAATTTATGATAAAGTTTTTGCTTCTTTTCGGAGCATTTTATCAGTGTTTTATTCATCCACGGATTAGCAACTATTTTTGTCCTAATTTGTATGTCCTCTTGAGGACAGGTTTCATTAAAGCAATCTAGGAAAAAAATTATTGAAAGCATTATTAGCATCAATGTCTCCAATAATAAAGTTTTATTTTCTTTCTTTATTTTTTCAATTGAATTTTTAATAAAAGTTTGAAATGATTTGATTTTACCACTTGGTGGACGATAAACGCATCTAATTAAAACATTTCGAAGTTTTTTATTTATAATTTCAATAAATAGGCTTTCGTAATTCTCGTTTGAGAAGCATATTATGTTTTTTAGTTTCTCAAAATTTTGCTGAATGCTTCTAATGTTTATATGTAAAACTGAAAAAGAACAATGGTTATTTATTATTTTAAAATCAAAAGGATCAACATATGGTGTCAATTAAGTTCATTTGAGTTTCTTGAAAAATATTTATGTTTTCTTCAAGCAGGTTATTAATGTTACCCTCAAAAGATTTCAAATTTTCAAAATGCGTAGCCATTTTTAACGAATAATTTAAAAAGACAAAAACAATGTATTAAATCAAAACCTTTAAAAAGCTGACTCGTTAAAGTCATTTTTAGGTTCAGGCCCATAAAAAGGCCTCCAAAAACAAAAATAGCCCCAGGCCCCAAGAAGTCTTAATTCGCCACTGCTTTGTAGATGTTTTTTTTTAAATTCATGAACAATAAGTTTATTGTACACGACTTTAGCGTAATAACCGTTTTTTTTTTTTTATGAAAACCATGCACTTGCTTCAGAAACGTAAGATCCGTGGTTCAAATCCCACCTCTGGGCAAGTTTTGCGACATCGGTTGGGAAGAAGGCGTGAACTTCCTATTAAATACTCTTCCACGGTGCTCTGTGATAAGACCGTAAGGACTTCTTCGGGCACCTTAATCAACTTAAAAAAAGAAAAAAACCCTAACCCTGACCCTAACCCTAACCCTAACCTACTCAAAAAGTTCTTTTCGTATTTTACGATTCGAAAACTATAATCTTCATTTATAAAAATAGTGCTCCATTTTAGTTTCATTAATCTTTTTCTAAGATTATTTTTTTATCTTTATAATCATGAAGCTTTAGAACAACTGTTCCCTCTCTCGCTTTACTTTAGCAAGCCCAACTCGATGGGCTCATTTAATTTTAATGTTTCTAAATTCCAAGTTGTACGTTAAAAAGCCGCTTTATTTTTTTGATTTCTGATGTCGTCTTCTTGCTCTATCCATTTGTTTTATTGTTTGTTATTTTATAAATGGTAACTTTATGAGGCGTAATTAATAATAAATTATAAAAATTTACGTCGACAGACCGTTAAGGAAAGGTGCGGCAAAACGACTTACATTAACTAACGGTGGGTTTGTATGAAGACTAAATTGTTATCATTAAATTAAAAAAAAAATCAAATATTTAAAACCCCATTTTATTTTTAATAGTTATTTTAACGCTTATTGAAACGGTACTTTTTTTTTTGCAATATAGCAGGGCATTTCAATTCCAGTGAGTCAAAAAAAAATGAAATTTTAAAACGAATATTTTATTTCATTCGGAAGATGGAATTCAAAAGAAGATTAGTGATATTTTGATTATCCAAAAAAAAAAAAAAAAAATGATAGAAGACATATGTTTCTTCATGATTTAATTATTCAAAGTTCGCAATAAATAAATAAAATATTTTAGAAAAAAAACAAAAATTTTTATTACATGTGATTATAACATTTAAAATTGATTTCATGACCCAGATTTTATTGATTCTTAAAGATAATGATGTCTTTTAATATTTCATTGTCAAAAATTGCGACTAAGTATTTTGGAAGTATCTAAAATTTTATGCCAAAATGAACGGGGTTTTGAATTTCCGTGCGTGATTTAAAAGATCTAATTATTTAGAAAAAGAGTGTTAAAAAGTATCAATTAAAGTGATTTTTTTACTTTGCGTATTGTTAGGTTACTGAATTGAATAGCAAATTTTTTTTTTTCTTCTACAACATTTTAGCATTGTTTTTTTCATCACGTACAGACATATCACGCACGGACAAATATTTATCCGTGCGTGATAATTATTTTTTTTTAGCTATATAGCGTTTGAATAGCATATTTGCTAATTAATTAGTTTGAGTAAAACTTAAAAAACAGTTGCTTAAAAGAATTTAGAAATAAAATGAACAAAGTTAAGCATTCAATAGTTCAGAAAAAATTTGAACGAAACATCCAGAATATCGGATTGCTAAAACTAATCAAATGAAAATTAAAAGAGCTAACATGAGCAAAAAAGAAAAGTAGGAAGTACGTCAAAAAGATCGCGAAAGAAAGAAATTTGCATGTTTACGGAATGTAAAGCAAACTGTGGATTGCCAAAGTTTGATGAATATGTTTCTAATGTAATAGACTCATTTGGTGACGATTCCAACAAACCGCTCTTTGTTTTTGACTAATGGTCCTCAGAAAACGCGCACAAAATTGAACTACCACTAACATCTTTGTTAGAGGGGTGCGTATTACTGCGTCAGCAATTGCCAGATTATATACGTCATTTGTATATAAAGCGACAAACAAAGTGCATATTTTCGTTTATGTCGCCAAAATGTATCAGAAAATGAATTGATTATTCAAGTAAGCAAAATTGTAACTTTATTTGAAGTACGATAATAAAACTTAATATTTTTGTATTAATCTTTTTGTTATATTTATAAACTAATTATTCATCCATTTATATTTTTAATTCTTCTAAAATTAGATGAATTTCAGTGAAAATTACATCATAATGGAGCAAATTGAAATTCAATCTGCTTACTCGGTTCATCAGCAACTAACAGTATTCACTGCAGCAGTTTGGAGTAAGAACAATAACATTCCTATGCCATTATATCCGATAGTTTACTTCATGATAAATATGCCGTCTTGTTCATTATCAAAGAATTAAGTCGTTATCATAATATTTGTAAATAACGCTTTTTTACTGATGGTCCTTTCATCACAATTCAAAAACTCTTATGTCATGACAGCCATGAATAATTTGTACAAATTATCATCTGATCTTCTTGAGATTCGTTGGTCATTTTCTGCAACATCACACGAAAAGGGCAGTTGATGGGATAGATGGAGAAATAAAAAGAATGGTTCGGACAACAGTAAAATCTGGAAAACGATATTGTCGCAGTTTAGAAGATTTTGTGAGCACTGCAAGTGAAAAAAATACCAAAATTAATGTAAGTCATTATTTATAGAAAAAACCTCAAAATGAAAGTTCGTTTTGTTCTTTTAGAAAAGGTATATAAAAATGAGTTCGACAACCACACTTTGATAACCGTGGACATATTATTATTGAGCCAAAGTGTTACAACTTAAATTATTGTTAAAAATTTGATATTGTATCTTTCTTATCTTTAATATATTATTTACTATAAAATACATTATTTATTAAATTAATTAGTATTGATATATATTCTATTTATGATAGCCGCAATCGATTATTTCCAAAAATAGAATCCAAAAATGACTGTTTGCATGTTCCGTTCGTTACTTTTTTTTGTCCGTGCGTGATTTTGGTTTAAACTACTTTTACAGAGCAAATGTAGAATGAACTTTGTAAAAATCTTTAAAAATGTTTGTATAATTACCTATAAAAACAAAACACTCGCCACTAATACATTTTCAGAGAAAATAGGATTTATTTATTAATTTTTTATTTTTGTTTCGTGCGCGACTCCATTAAAAAATTCATTTATTTTGTAATAAAGCAACCCATAGCTACCATACTTTGTATAGGTAATATATACATAGATGTCGGTTAAATAAAAGTAAGCCAGTGGTTACAAATTGCATTATTTTCAACATAATTAATGCAACAGATGCAATGTGCATTAATTATGTTGAAAATAATGCGTGATTTTTTGGAAATGCCTAGCAGTAATTAATTTGAGTTATGCTACGCAACGGTATAAAAAAGATTATAAAAAATGGCAAATATGATCGCTTTATTGATTTATATCAACGTTAAATTAGACTTACTTCACATTGATATTCAGACCTATGTATGATTTTTAATGAGTAAAAAATTCTCTACCATAACTAGCAGCGGGAGAGACTGCAATTAGGGTTAACCCTAACCAGTTAGTTAGAACTTTGTCTAACTAAATATTGGTTAAAACTGCAGATAGAACTATGGCTTACTGGTAGTTTGCTTGTTTTACTCAAGATTTCAGTAAATTTTAGTTTATTTCGTTTGTCATGATACAAATAGTCTAATTAAGTTTTAACGTCAATTTTGGCAAAATGTCAGAGCCTTGTCAAAGCAACGCGACGACCTGTTGTGATACTATATAGTTATTTAAAATATAGTTTAAACTATTATACTATACTTTGTTTGTTGTTTTTGATATTAAACTTCTTATTTTTAAATAAAACCAAAATTTTCCGATAGTCCGTCGTAATATGTAAAAATATGCGACAAACCGTCATTTAGATTCAGTCATCAACTTTTTAATATTGACACAAGAACTTTTCTTTATAAACGTTTTGGATTGAAATACTTAATTCAATAATAATTTGATTTATCATATAAAAACAACCGAGCGTAACTGATTTCAAATGATGCTTAAACTTGAAGTAAAGATTGTTAAATAAAGCTAATTTCTAACGGACGAAAATATCTGTTTTTAAAACATAATCACTTTGGATAATTTTTTTGATAAATTCTTTATAAATAAAAAGAATATAGAAATTTATGGGAATTATTTAAAATATTGTGATGACTGTATGACAACAATAAGGTAGGAAAAAGGTTTCTAAAAAAAGTAAGAATCTATATAACAAACAAGTTTCTTTGTTTGATGGTGACGTTATTTCACGAGACAAAGAGGATTTTGTCAATTTAAGGGAAACGCTCTTCATGAGATTATTATTTCCAACTTGAAAGCATTTCAGGTATTACGATTATTTGCACGAACTGAAAACAGATGTTCGCTAATCTGTGCTTAACCTTGGCTATCGTCATTTTCGACTATGTTATCTGGCCTAAATAAATCAGCACGTGGAAAAACCTGGTGACAAGCCAATTTGTAGTTCCTTGCTTCAGTTAACAATCCTTTACTTATCAACTTTTCATACACTTCAACGCAAACCTAAATTTAAAAAAAAAAAAAACCTTGTTTTTACCAAAAAATAACAATTAGAAAATGCAGAAAATGAAATTTTTGCACACACACGCATACACAAAAAAACAACCTATAAAATAAACTCAAATAAAAAAAAAAGCAAATTAGATACCTGCAAACTCAAATCGACACGTGTGGTTAAATCGGTAATTAGTTTAATAGCTTCGTCTTTGCTAGATGGGTCCAAGTACAATTTGCTCCAACCAACTAAAAGATGTAATTAAAATTTGCTTAAACTCAAACATTTTCTTATAATCAAATATTCAAGCATCACATGTTTAGGTCACAAGTTACGTGTTTAATTGTTGTTTTTAGTTTTAGAGTATTCAATTTTATACAATTTTTTCAGTATATAAATCAAAAAACAAGTGCTATAAATAAGTATATAATTTAAAAGAAATTTAAGGGAAGGGTTGGAAAAGATTCAAAATTAACAGACAAGAGTTGTCATCAATTTAGGAGGATCAATACTAAAACCAATTATGTTTTATTAAATGTGTAGGACAAACCTATTCTTACAATGAATGAACCTTCTTTTTTTAAACATGCAATAACCCAGTGCACACGGATGTAAAAAAGATGTCTTTTAAACGTCTTATACACGTTTTGGACGTCTTTTGAACGTTCAAAAGACGTCTTTTTTTGGTCCGGTGTTTATATTTTGAATTTTAGTTATATTAAAAAAATAATATTTGCAATATTATGGAGAACAATATTATGGGAATATTATAGTAAATAATGTTTTAGAAATGATTAAAACAAAAAATAGTGCAAGAAAACATTTTCAATTTTAAATTGCATCAAAATATTATAAAACAATATCATTTGAAGATTGTTTAAGTAAATGTAAAAAATCTGAAGGAATTGCTTTATGATTTTTTTTGGTGTGATGTTAATTTACACAGTGATGAAATAACAAAATCACTGGAAACTAAGTCTATTGATAAGATCAGACTTTGTAGCTCTTCTGGACGTTTTTCAGCTGAAATTTTGCAATAAGATTTGAAGTCTTTATTTCTAGCTTATTGAGCTTCCTCTGACATAAGTCTGATGGGTAATGTAAGGCTTTTAATTATGTCATGTCCATGTATCAATACTTGTGAACTGATTGAGCCATGTAAATCATGGATAAAGGGACACATATAGCCTAACAGTGTCAAAACAATAATCCTTGAATTTTAAGCAGTCTATTTCATATCCTGAAGAGAGTGTTACCAAGATAATGTAAAATCTGAATATAAGATTTGATCAATACCCAGAATTTCAGCAGTTTGTTCATATGCTGCAAAAGCACGTCTTGAGGTATTGCCAAGCACGCCTTGAGGTGTTGTTTATTCCAGAACCACTACTTTTAACCAACCAATCACTGAGGCTTTGTGTAAGTTGTACAAAGAGTGTCTTTCCATTCACAAATGTACCAGATAACGAATTCAAATTACTATGTTCTTCTGACAAAATTCTTATAACTGATGATTTACCTCTGTCAATAAATCTCTTTTCGTCTTCTCATTTAAACAAAGTTTCTACTTAAATCAATGATTATGTTTCATCTCATGTTTTAGATTCAGATGAAGAAATCCATGCATCAATAGACATAGTTTGCAAATATAAATATAAGTAAATTCTATTCACTAAACTTTGACAAAATTAACGCTTTCTCTTTATTTCATCTTTGCAAAAACACTTTGAGGAACTAAACATATTACTATCGTTAATGAGTTTTGAACTTTCCATTAATGGTATAACCGAAACACGATTAAAAAAAGAAACACCATCAATTCATCCAATTCACATTGATAACTACAACATTGAGCACACACTAACTGAAACTTCTTGTGGAGGAACATTGTTATTTTTATCAAAAAAATTAATATATAAACGAAGGGATGATTTAACGATTTACACAACATATTGTTTAGAATCAACATTTGTTGAAATAATTTTTTCTAAAAAATCTAATATTATTGTTGGTTGCATTTATAAACACCCTTGCATGGATATAAAGGAATTTTTAATTATCATGCCTGTCCTTCTTCAAAAAATAAATTGCCAACCAGAATTACTAATCACTCTGCTACAATCATTGACAATATTTTTTTTAATTTAATAACTAATAAATTATTCCAGGAAATTTGACAACTTCAGTATCTGATTACTTACTTCAATTTTGTGTTTGTCCTAATGTTAATAAGTTATTTATACCACGCAATCACAATTTATATCTCAGAAATTATAAAAAACTCTAATAAAATAAACTTCAAATCAGATCTTTTAAAAATTAATTAGGATAATCTTATAGAGAACAGTGGTGTTAACTCTTGTTTCCAAACATTTATTTCTCTGAAACAACCTTGATTTTGAATCGCTACGCCTCACTTAAAAAAGTTCATATTAAGAGCTCCAAGTGTCGATTTAAACCTTGGATTACAAAGAGAATCTTAAAATCTATTCAAATACGCAATCTTTAAAAAAAAAAAAAAAAGTTAAGATCAAAAGATATTAGGAATATAAACACATTTAAAACTACTTTCAAACAATATAAATACATGATAATTACCTTAATTAAGCTCAGTAAAAAAAAGCATTTTAAAAAGTACTTTACAGAAAATGTAAAAAATCTTCACAAAATTTGGAATGGAATTAATAATTTAATAAATGTCAAAAACTCTAATCCCTCATCTCCCAACTGTTTATTTTTGTTTTGTTTTATATGTTATATATGATTTGGTTCAGTTATATATGTTTAAATAAAACATATATAACTGAACTAAATCTTATCTCTGAAAAGTTTAACACTTTTTTTACAAACATCGCACAAAAACTTAAATCCAATATTCATTCGTCTTACATAAATTATACAAAATATCTTAAGTATCCAAATTTAACATAGTCTACTTCTATCTCCAACAAATATTTATGTAGTTTAATCTCTTATATCTAATTTGAAGCCGAGAAAATCAACAGGTCTAAATAGCATTCCCACAAACATTCTTATTGATTTTAACAATGAATTTTCAAATATTCTTTCTTAAATATTTAATTTATCATTTATAAATGGAACTTTTCCGAATTTTTTAAAATTATCTTGTGTTATTCCAATATTTAAAAACGGCTCTAACTACAGACCTATTTCTCTTTTATCTAAAATAAGCAAACTTCTTGAAAAACTTATGTATTGTAGAGTGTACTCTTTTCTTAACTCTTTTAAGTGTTTAAATGAATTTCAATTTGATTTTTGTTCAAAACATTCTACCTGCCATGCATTGATAAGTATAAGTGAAAAAATCAGGAAAGCTCTCAACACAGGTCATTTTGTTTGCGGTATTTTTATAGATTTACAAAAAGCTTTTGATACCATTTATCATAACATTTTGATTTTTAAATTAGAACACTATGGTATTTGTGGTGTTGTAAATGACTGGTTTCCATCTTATCTTACAGATCGGAAACAATTTGTAAGTATTAATGGTTATAATTCTACCAATAAATCTGTTGTGTGTGGTGTTTCTCAAGGTTCTGTTCTTGGTCCTCTTTTGTTCTTAATTTATATTAATGACATAAACAACTCTTTTTGCTTCTCGTCAATTCATCTTTTTGCTGATGACACAAACCTATTGCATATTAACAAATCGTATAATTCTCTATGTAAAAACATAAATTCTGATCTAAAAGGTATTGTTCACTGGTTAAATGCTAACTTAATATATCTTAACGAAAAAAAAACTGAACTGATCTTTTTTTCATCTTCTAGAAAAAAACATCTAAACAAAAATTTTAAAATCCAAATTAATAATAAACGATTATATCCTACAAAAATTATCAAATATCTCCAGAATCTTTCAAAAAACTGAAAATTCCAAACTTTCCTTGTAAAAATGCGGTTGTAAAATTTGCTAATCTTCTTTTTGTTTTTAACTCTTAATAAAAATTTACCCTCTTCTATAACAGACTTTTTTACAAAAAGTAGAATAATACATACATACTCTACTAGAAGCATATATAATGGGAAACTTAATATACCATCATTTAAAACTCAGAAGTATGGTAAACATTCTGTTGTCTATCAGTGCATTTGTGAATGGAACAAGAGTCTTGAGTTCAAAAAACTACAACTTCAAACATCTTTATCTTTTCTTAATCTTACACAAACCAATTTAAAAAAATTCTGAAAACAATTTTGTTCTAACTAATTGATATGATTTTCACTTAATTTTTAAAATACACTCTTATTTTTTTTAATTATGATTACTACAACTATTATCATTAAATTCTTTTTGTTTATTTTCTATTATTATCATCAAAGTATAGTTTTTTAAAACTTTACTTGTTTTTGTATGTTCAATGTGTGTATACTTATTATTAATCATATTATATTCAAAAACTGTTGTCACACCTTTGATCAGAATTCTGTTTGAATGACACCATCAATCATTTATTATTAAAATATTAATCAGTTATGACTATTAAATACTTATAATTAATTTACTCATTATTATATTAATTTATATTATTATATATATATATATATATATATATATATATATATATATATATATATATATATATATATATATATATATATATATATATATATATATATATATATATATATATATATATATATATATATATTATATATTATATATATATATATACATACAGGGATTTAATATAAATAAATTATCAATAAATTTCTCCTAATATATAAAGATACTAAAATTAAAAAAGTTTTCAAGATTAGAATTGCCCATTTTGTCCACCTACTGGCCTAAAATTTTTAAATTTTTTGCCAAGTATCAAAAAATTTAACTTAAAAAATTCAATAAAAAAATCTTTTTATCACTAGAAACCACATAATACTTTTTACTTAAAGGAGGTTTATTATTCATTTTATAACATTTATTTATTAATATATTGCATCCAAAATTATACATTTACAGTTATATAAATATTTTATATAATACATTTTTGTATATATTTATATAATACACTTTTGATAATAATAAAAATTAAAATTTTTATTATTATCAAAAGTGTATTATATAAATATATACACTTTTGATAATAATAAAAAAAAAAACTGGGCTGAAAGAAAAATATTAAGTCAGCGCACAGGACTGAAATAATATGCTATTAATGTTCAAAATTGCTTGAAACAATGGTAAAAAGAAAATGTGTTACTTAAGTTTTCCTTTCTTTTGATGAGAGACCCATTTGCAATGGTTCTCAATGATACGAAGTGTGCACTGTAGCTGGTTTGGATATGATTTTGTTTTTGAAATCAGCTTGACTCCTCATTCAGCGCAGTCATTAACCACTTCTAAAAACTCAATTACTATCTTAACGTTTCTCAACGTAGTTATGGTTCTTTATCTTTGTTCAATGTTCAACAGGTAGTTGCAAACAATCCACTTAATTAGGTTTCATTTTAAGTAAATCAAACAGTAGAAATCTGGCCCAATCAGCGACACAAAATAAGAACTTTATCCAGGCGATTTGCGGAAAAATTGGTTTTCCAAGCTTAAGTTGTTTGTTTCTTTTAATGTTAAATATTTTCAAATCTGTGGCAGATTGTTCGATCACTGGAATAGATACATCAAATAAGATGAAGATTGATATTTAACTTAACAGTTAAATACTAAAGATGCATTTAACTCAACAGTTAAATACATCTTTAGTATTTAACTGTTGAGTTAAATACTAAAGATGCCTGTAACATGACTGTCAAATTTGCTATACCACTGCAGTGATTTACTGGTCACCGAAATTTGGTGCAATAATGGAAATTCAACTTTGCAAAAAAGCTTTTGCTTGAAACAGTGAAATAAAATCTACTATTCTCTTAAGCTTATGGTTTGGGTCCTGGTTGAGCCATGTAATTTGTTAGTCCAACATTACGTACTTAAAGAAGTATAGGTCATTGCGCATGAATCTTGCACAATGATAAGCACCAGTCTTCTTTATCCAAAAAATCTTTTTATCTGGTAATTCTCCGCCAAGACAAACAATTACCACTTTAATAAGTTCCCTATAACCTTCTCTTGGAAATGTATTTTTTTTTAGACAAATGCTGGCCCATTTCAAGACAAGTTTGCTGAAAATTCAATCTTGAATTTTCTGCAGATGGAGAAAACTTAGTCCCAGTTATCCTGAAGCATTTTAAGTAGCAAGTTGATTGGCTCATTATGGTTTCCAATAACTGCCTCCCAGACGTGTTTAATGTGCAACTCATAAATGTGATGCAGACAAGCAGCCTAAAAATTACATGACCGATCTCCTTCTCAATTAAAAAAGCACATCCTGTCGTCCAGCCAGCGTTACTAGTTGTTGTATTGAAGCAAAAAGCAATAAAATTATTATGCACCTTCCATGATTGAAAATAGTTAAGTTGATCTTCCTGGGCTACATCAGTAGCATTTGGGATTGTAGGAATCCCAATGACTTTGGGATTTGATTCTTCAGTTAAACCATCCCATCTGATGCAAGAATGGCAACAGCAATGGTTTCTTTCTTTCCTTTAAAAAATTTAAAAAAATAAAAGTTTTCTTAAGATTATTATACTACTTATTATCTGAAAAATTTTACCGTTAAGTGATGAAACAAGTTTGCAATGGTAGTGACCACATGAATGAAGTGAAAGTTGCATTTATACTTATCTATGTGTCTCTAACAGTGGGATGTAAGTGGCTATTGTGTCTCTAACACTGAGGAGTAAGTGATCGAAAAGATCAGAGGTGTAAGTGATCACTTACACTGAGGTGATCAGAAACTTTAGTAAACAAATCAGTCAGTGTCTTTAGATTCTGAGAAATAAATAAAATAAATAAATGGCAATCATTTTTTTGGTAGCGTTGAGTAAAATTTGTCATCTTTTAAGCTTTTTTTGTTTTTATTATCTTCATCAATAATTTTCTCAACTTCGTCGTTTGAAACAATATTTCGTCTTCTTTTAGATAAAGTAATGTGCTATGGCTTGATTGGAACTCTTGTTCTCCTCCAAATATTTTTATACTCGATTAAAATTGTGTTAAAAACATCACAGGTTAATGACCATTCTTTTTAACTAACATTGTCAACTTCTCGGAGGTGAAAATATCTTCTTGAAAGAGCAATTTTTAATGTAAGTATTGAATCAACAGCTAAACTTTTTTTGAGACTTTTTTTGAGACCCATTAAATTTTTCTTGATGATCTCTTCATGTGTGTAAGGTTTTTCTAGACTTTTCCTTTTTTGAACTAAGACACTTGAAAATTTGAAATTGAGGTAATTCAGTATGACTGCTAGCCGTTTTGAATTGCCATTTTCATTAAACTCCATAAATAAAACTATATCATATCATCGTTGTTCGTAGTTCATCAGTTAACCAATAGAAAAGTTAATTTTTTAACTCAAGACCCTAGTTTGCCAACATAAAAGGATGTAAACTATAGGGAAGTCGAGGGTATAGTGTCTCTCTATGCACACACATGCCCCACATTATACACTGTCCCTGTGTAAGGCAAAAATCCTTTTTTGAGTCTGCAAAAAACAGGTTTTTAGCAATGCTAATAGGTCAGAGCCCCTTTTCTCCTCTCAAAAAAAGACCTGTCATTAGAGCCCCAAAAGTTTATTTTGGGGCTCTAATGACAGGTCTTTTTTTTTTCGCAAGGTATTGCTAAAAACAGCTCCTTAAATTTGCAAAAGGACTTATAAATTTGCTAGCCCCCCCCCCCCCCAATCAGGAGTGTGGGGTAGCCTAGCCCTGGCTCTGGGTTTTAGGCTTTGTTTTTAACATTACTTATCTTGCATAATTTTTCAACATTACTCATCTTGCACTTATTTTTTACATACTTACTAAAGAGGGGTACCTAAAAAAACATCTACCCAAAATAAAGTTTTTTTAAAATTGATTCCAAACAAATTTTAAAAAATAAAAAGTAAATTATGACATGTCTGTGATTCGATCTCCAGTCACCGACAAGGAATTGAGCGCATTAACCTCATGGCTATACCTACATACACGCCTTTAAAATTTTAAAGTTTTTGGCACACATACTTTATGGACAACCCCTTATACTCTTAAGCATAAATTATTTCAATAGCAAAATTCAAATTATACCAGCTATCCGTGTCTTGAGAGAATTAGGATTTGAAAGTAAGTAATCATCATTAAATTTAAATGGATCTTGCTCCCTAACAATAAGAGGTAGTTCACGGTCGATGACCAATTTTACAATAGCATTATATGAACCTGCTTCTTCTCGAACTAAAGAAAAGGTTCTGAAAAATAATTAAAGAATTTAAAAACAAGCAACAAAAATAAAAAAACTATCAAAAATAAAAACCTAAAAACTATTATTAAACAGCTTAACTGATGAACCAGGTTACCTTTAGCTAAAAATTCAACTAAACAACAGTGCAGCTGAGAATTAGTAGGGTCACAATGATATGCTCGTTTTACTGATTGAAGCATTAACAATGGCTTATCTAAAAGATTAAAAATATTTTTACATTAAAAAAAAAATCCTTTTTAGTCTCATAAAACTTTTAAACAAAATGTTTAAAATATTTTTAATAAATATTTTAAATGTTTAACAAAATAAAATACTTGTTCTTGAGTAAATCTCATAAGCCATTAGATGGGTTTCAATTTTCTGTTTGGAAAGTAACTGTAATGGACGAAGAAACTTAACTGCTTCTTCTAAAGGATTTTTGCACTAAAAAAATAAAAATAGGTAAAGGGTTTCTTTTGCTCTTCAAAAAGCTAATTTGTTAATTTGTTAAAAAGTTAATTTTTAAATTTCTATTTAACCTTAACTAATACTAAAGGATCTGGTTTTCCATCGTCATTCTTTTTCATCTCAACCTCTTTATGATCTATTAAAAAAAAATAAAAATTTAAATTTAAAATTAATATTTAGTTCACTAAACTTCAAAATCATTAGGATACCTTTTTTCTCTTCTTCAATTTGCTGCTTCTTTTGAGCTCTTCGTTGTTTACTTTTTAATTTTTTAAATTCTTTATCTGACATGCTTCCTAATAAAAAAATTAGTGAAACTTTTTTTATTTCATTAAAATTAATCCTCGAACTAACCTATAATACCTAAAATTAGGACATTATTAAACACTGACTATCTTTTTTATTTTAATATAATTAAAATAGTAAAATAAAAACAAAAACACTCCTCTAGTGGTGAAAAATATTCTATATAAACACTTTTATGTGATGTCACTTATTATAATCAAACTTTTTCTGCTTTCTTTTCAGTACTTTTTTTTAAAAGTAATTTTTACAAATTGTTTTTAAAGTTATTTTTATATATATATATTTTTATAGTATATTGTAAAAACCAATTGCAACATATGACTATAAAAACATGATTAAATGCATTTCTAAAAACATTTCACATATATGATAAAAAAATTTATGTAGACTTACTCAATAATAAAGAAAGATGCATTTAAATGCTAAAGAATTACAGTAAAAAATAATGTAAAAAAATAAAAAAATAAAATAAAAATTTTGACATTTTAGTGCTATTTTTATTTTATTATTTTATTTTTTGTTTTGATACTTATAAATATTTATAACTGAATGAAAAACAAAATATTTTTTTGTTTTATATAGTTTTATAATATATAAAACAAAAATATTGAATTTATATATATATATATATATATATATATATATATATATATATATATATATATATATATATATATATATATATATATATTATAGTTTCAAAATTTAATAATTGTACCTAAAGTACAACTTTTTTCATTTCAAATTTATATTCCTCTTCAAGACAGAGGGTGACTTAAGACTTTAAGACAGAGGATGATTGACTTAAGATTTCATAGAAAAACAATTAAAGTCCTGTAGTAATAATTTGATCTTAATAATGAATGGTATAATAATGAACAACTAATACAAGAATTTAATTAGCTCTAGAAATTTGTGAAAATGTCTGCCCAGGTACCTGTTAAACGAATGGGCGGACAGCCAATAAAATTATAATACTTTTTATAAAAGTTGTTCTCATAAATAGACAATAGTACAATAATTCCAATTATTTAGAAACGTTCTTTTTACTCAATTTATTTTACTTTAGCTTTAGGGGCTTGGTGATAATACAAATTATGTCTTTTATTTCATTTTATTTATGAATGAAACCAGTTCTAAACTTATAAAATGACGGTTATCCTTCATTTGAAAATGCTACACAGGCTAGAACAATTGGACAAGTACTAAGGTGCCCGTCAACAGCCTTTTAAATTTAATTTCCATGTGTTCAATTATAAAAATATTAAAATTTTAACTTTAGTGAGCAAAACCAAAAATTTAAAACATCACAAAGTAAATATTTCTGTAAATTGTATTGCGGAAGAAAAATAAAAATCTTTAGACCAACAAAACACTCTAATGTTTTTTGTTATTCACCTCCTTAAGGCTGAGAGGGCCACTACAATCAAAGAGGCGACTCTGTATTATGGTTACAACTAGTGATTTCGCCGGTTATCCAGTTTTGCGGTTAACCGGATTTTGTTCGAATATCAAATATCTATTTTCGAATAATAAAAACCACCTTAAAAATTTTACAAGTAACAACGTAATTATGATGATTATTGTTTGACAAATGTTAATTTATCAAAGATTATAATATATTTCTTTTATTAATTTAAATGTTAATTTAATCAATTTTTTTTGATAATATATTCTTAAAACAATTTACCATAGAAATCTCAAAGATTTATTTATTACTTTTACAACTCAAGCAATACATTAAGCAGAATATTCTGGAACTCTAATTCGCTTGTTCAGCGTATTTTTTGAGCCAATAGAATTTGTTTATTCGTAGATTTGGCGGTATTTTAGTGTTAGCAAACATTCTTTATATTATCTTTCTGCAACAAGTTGTTTTGAGAAGATTTAAGTTTATCTATGTTTCCATCTATATCTGCATAACAATGAGTTTTTAAAATACACTCTAAAAAAATTTACTTCATAATATCTCATTTTTCCAAATCAAATATTTTTATATGAGAGAATGATTTTAAAACATCCGCTGATATTAAAACATTTAAACTACACTTGTACATTATTTCTACCTTTTTTAATTATATAATTAAAAAGGTATATTATATTATAATATAAAAAATATATATCTTTTTCCATGTTTTGTTATAAATATATAATATAGGACTGTATTCAATAACTGTCTTGAAAATGTACTCTTTAACATTAATTTATAAAAAATTAGTTTAAAACGCTACGTTCGTTGAAATTTAGAAGAGACTGTATTCAGAAAGCGTCACTAATTTACAGAATAGTCGGTTAACCGCAAATTAATGAGAATTGTTATCCGGTTTTTAAAACGGATAACCGGCAAAATCACTAGTTACAATCCTCCTAAGCCGCTGCATGGAGAAATAGATTGAGCCCAATACTACCAGACATGGTGGGGATTAAACTCAGAAATACTTGTTTATGAAGCAAGCACTCTACCACTACACCACTACCACATGTTATAAGTTAATTGTTATTATTATGTTACCTTTGTTATTTTCTGCACCACCTTCTTCACTTGAATACGGTTTATCATAAAGTTCAATATAGCACTAAAAATTCATTGCATTTATTAAAAACTTTGATCATCACCATGATCATGATCATGATCATCATGATCACCACCACCATCATCATTTAAATAATAAACATACCTTAATAGCAATTCTAGCAGCATCAAAGTAAAATGAATGATTCCTTATAACATCTTCAAGCTTGAGAAGTTTTATATAAGCGCATAAAGTGACCTTACGCATACAATAAGTGTGAAAGTCAAATTGATCTTCTACTATCTCATTAAAGTTTTTTTCTATTTGATGACACTTCCGAAGGGCCTCTCCAATTTCTTCTCGACGGTAATGTGCTGCTGCACATTCGTTTCCAAACCACATACATTGCATGGAGTCAAGGTCATCATCTGGTGAGCTGCCTTCCTAATTGAAAAATACATGAAAAATACAAGTCATAGTTTGTCATTAACTTAACGTTTATTTGAATGAAAATAATATTCACCTTGGTAAACATTCCACAAGTTTCAATAGCCTTTTGAATTTCATTTGCTCTCAACAAATATTTGGCACATTTAGAATTGACATATCTATCAGCAGTATCTAAGCTTCTACCTTCATCCATCCAATTAGCTGCTTCCTGGTAAGCACCTGCATGCTAAATATATAAAGTTTAAAAAAATTTATATACATTTAAAAAAAAAAAAAATCAAGACAGGTCCTTTTTTTTTAAATAAAAACAGCTTTATCCAATACAAACAAAATTGTATTATAAAACTTCCACTTTACAGTAAAAAAAGGAAAAGCTCATACCCTTAAATTAATCTTTAATTTTCTTAAGGGTAGTATCAAGACTGAATATTTTTACAATAAAAGTAATTGATAAATAAAATATTTTATATATATAAGCCTCAACAGGAATGGCAAGCAATTACCCAAGCCCGCGTCTACACACATGTAATTCAGTTTACATGGGTGAAATAAAGTCAATGCAAAATACAATTATTTTTTTCAAAACACAAAATAAATTTAATTTTTGTTAAATTTAATATTTTTATTCAATATATTGTTTCAAAAACAAAAATATATCAAAACATCTAATGCATTGAAAAATAAAATATCAAACAAATATTTCATCAAAAACCATAATAATAAAAAAATATATATAAAAACTATAGAACTTTAATAAATTGAAATTATATCAATAATATGTTATTATATAACTCGCTTACATTTAGTTCAGGCATATACAATTTGTACTTTGAATCAAAGAGTTTTATAAAAAATTTTTAAAATATAATAATTTTTCCCAGGTACGATTGCAAGCATCTTGTAGAATATCTTGTTTTTATTTAACATTATTTCTAATAAAATAAAAGATTTCAAAATTGATCAGTTGCAGCCTATTATGACCCAAATAGTTTAAAAAGAAAAGATATTATTTGCAATTTATTGAAAAGCTAAAAAATTTCTAGTTTCATATTTTTAATTGAAAACTTTTTAAAAATAAAATACAAAATGTAAACTATTTATTCTAAAAACAAAAGAATTTTTTAAAACAAAATATTTTTATAGTTGCATTTTTAACTTAGTATGTAAAATAAGACTTCACGACCAAATGCGAAACAAAATACGAATCAAACCCAATATAATAGATACACTCATGTTTAATAACATATTTTTTCAAAAGCACTTTTCTTTCATTGTTCATAACCAAATTTGTTTAAACTTTAATAATGTAACAAAAAAATAATTTTAAAAGTGTCGAATTCATTCATTCAAGTTTTAATTACAAAAGCCTTTTCTTATTTTTTTATATTTACTCACTCTCTAGCTTCCAGCTATTTCAGTGCGATATTTGAAATTTCCAAGTTGGACAATAAAAAAAATTAAAAATAAGAAGAGTAAAAAATGAAATTTTATATATGTTATATATATTTTATATATGAAAAATAATCAATGGTTTTGATAACAAAGCGAGCTAAATATATGCTAAAATAGTGTTCAAGCAACTTTGTCAAATGCAACATTTTTTAAAGAATTTTTCGAGAAAACCTGAAGATGCTTGAATAAATATCATAAAAACAACAATTGCTGACAAGTGATTCTCTGAAACATTGACAAGTGATTCTCTGAATTATTTATGATATTGAAAAATCCGGCAAAAATGCTGATCGCCGCACAAGTACTATTAGCGCAGGCAGCTCACGTTGCTGGGCAAGTCTGTTTTAGATTGGCAGTTCACTGCTCATTCACTCCTGCCAAGGCCTGTATGTATATGTGTATGTATATATATATATATATATATATATATATATATATATATATATATATATATATATATATATATATATATATATATATATATATATATATATATATATGTATATATGTATGTATGTGTGTGTATATATATGTGTGTGTGTGTATATATATATATATATATATATATACCCTTATAGTGTAGTCGAAAGAGCGTTTTAATGTAAAAAAAGTCTCTTACGACTACAATTTTAATTACATCGTCTCTTAAGCTGTTTTTGATTGTCATCGAAATGTCAAAGCAATTAATTTATGCGGAAGTACATTAAATTTAATTGTTTTTAAAAAATTTTTTAAAAAACCGCAATTATAACGACTAGAAAGTTTTTTTTAATTAGTGGTGTTTTTGTTATTGATTTAATAAAAAACATTTTTTAAACATGCGTAAATGTTGCTACATCGACTATCTTATAGCCTGACTCGCAACGGAGTGCTGCTACATCGACTGACAAATAGCCTGACTCGCAACGGAGTGCTGCTACATCGACTGACAAATAGCCTGACTCGCAACGGAGTGCTGCTACATCGACTGACAAATAGCCTGACTCGCAAGGGAATGCTGCTACATCGACTGACAAATAGCCTGACTCGCAAGGGAGTGCTGCTACAACGACTGACAAATAGCCTGACTCGCAAGAGAGTGCTGCTACATCGACTGAGGGTTTGGTTTGGCCAGGCAGTCTATCAATTAAAAAAAAAATTTAATTTTAAAAACTTTTTCTGGTCTGGTTTATTAACGCGCTCTTTAAAACTACAGTTTATGGGAAATATTTTTTGATGCTACGCAAGAGACATGCAAGACTATATATATATATATATATATATATATATATATATATATATATATATATATATATATATATATATATATATATATATATATATATATATATATATTAAAAACAAAAGTTTCTTATATTAAAGAGTACTAGAGGCCTTTCAGTATTTATCATTATTAGTACTATTGCAAACATTATTATCACAATTTTGATATATGTAAAAAGTTATATAATAGAAATATTTAATTGCAGTGTTGTAACTATAAGTTACAACTGTTATGTTATTGTAAAAGGAAGTATTAGTTTTGAAGGTGCCATGTTTTTTTTTAATGAAAATAATTTTTATAGGTCAACAAATTATTTTTATTTTTTAGTTTGACAAAAACAAAAAGCTGAAAGAATGGCTCCATAGTTTTTTTTTGTGTATTTTCATGCAACCATATACATGATTGTTGAATCTGTTGAATTGCCAGTTCATTAACTGGAAATATATCCATTTGTGCGTTTTCCTAAACTGCTTGTTTTTCCAGTAAAGTCAAACTTACTGAATTATTATCTAAAATGCTTATCAATACATGATTTTAGATGATAAATAATATTTTTGCTATTACATGTAATGTGAATTTTAATGTTCCAAATAGTGCTGTTGGATGTCTCAAACTTTTTGTAAATAAAACCGACAGATTCTACATCGACTGTTTTTGCATTTGAATAGTCCCATTTTTTTGAAATTTTGAGCACGATATTTGTCTCAGTAAGTTTGGTGGTTGTTTGTAGGCAATTGAATTGAACTGAAACTGGTTGAATACTTGAAATAACATTTTTTATTTTTTCATTATCAGATAAACTAAGTAAAAGGTTAACTTCAGTTAAATTTGGTTGGCTGTTTCAATTGCTATAGAAAGCAGCAGGAAAGACTTAAACAACCATGAGAGTTTGTTTCTTTGTAAAATATTTTTAAATATTGTTTTTAAGGATAAACGATATGTCTAAATAACTAACTATATATATTTTTTCGCTTTCTTTGAATTTAATGCCAAAATCAATTGTAAAATTAATTGAATTATGCAATTCTGTATGAGACATTTGGAACTTGGCAATATCTAGACATTTTGACAATACGTTGAAATCATTATCAACTCCCTAAAATAAAATTGTTCAATAATTTTAACTTCTTTTAAAAAATATTTTGATAAGATTTTCAGAAAAAAGATTGTTTCTTCTACAACGCCAATTATAAGAAAAGCTTAGTATGGTGCAAAATCTGTGCTCAGGAATGTTACTTTAATTTGGCAAAACAAATGATCGCCAAAGTAGAAATTGTTGTCTTTAAGAATGAAAGATGCTGAATCTATGATAAAATTAGTGCCATCTTTTAAAAAATCATTCTTATGTTACTCGCCATTCAATAAAGTCTTATCCTTTCACTGTGACTGTTTTTAAGTGCTCCAAAAATTCTTATTTGTCTAGTTTTTTCCTCGAACATCAGTTCTTTGGAAATCACTTCTTGGAAAAATCTTCTTGTTTTTCTGATTCATAAAATTTTAAAAGCAGTTTAAATATTAGTAACTAATCGCTTTTTATTATAAATGTGATCTTTATAATAAATATGAGTTCTTTATAATAAATAGAGAGGTTAAGGCCATCGCTCTTGATATTTCTAAAGCGTTTGATAAAGTTTGGCATGCTGGTCTTCTCCATAAGCTTTCTTCTTAAGGTGTATCTGGAAACATCTTTAAGATTATTGAATCCTTCCTTTCCAATCGTAGTATAAAAGTTGTCCTTGATGGACAGCACTCTTCTTCTTATTCTGTAACCTCAGGGGTTCCTCAAGGTTCAATCCTTGGCCCTATACTCTTTTTAATTTACATTAACGATCTTACAGATATCCTCACGACTAAGGTGGCATTGTTCGCTGATGATACTACCATTTATTCTTGTCACAATAAGAAGCCAACTCCCTCTGATTGATTGCAGGGGGCATCTGAGCTTGAAAAGAATCTCACTTCTGCTACAGCATGGGGCTCACAGTGGCTGGTGAACTTTAATTCAGATAAAACTAAATTAGCATCTGCGAAAGTTGTATCTCTTTATCGAGCTTGTCACTTTCTTACTCTGGATTCTATTCTCTATCTCTATAAATCTCAAATCCGGCCTTGTATGGAATACTGTTGCCATATCTGGGGGGGGGGGGGGGATCTTCTAATGATGCCCTTTCTCTTTTAGACAAGGTGCAAAAACGCATTGTAAACATAGTTGGACCTGCTCTTGCAGCCAACCTTTAACCTCTGTCACATCGTCGTAATGTTGCTTCTCTTTCTTTTTTCTACGAATACTATAATGGGCACTGCTCTAAAGAGCTAGCGTCTCTTGTGCCATCTACTAAAATTCATTCTTGTGTTACTCGTCATTCAATTAAGTCTCATCCTTTTTCTGTTACTGTTTTTAAGTGCTCCAAAAACTCTTACTCTTCCAGTTTTTTTCCTCGAACATCAGTTCTTTGGAATTCCCTTCCTTCATCTTACTTTCCTGATTCATATAATTTGCAATCTTTTAAGTCATCTGTCAATCGTTATCATGCTTTACAATCTTCACCTTTTCTCTTCCAGTAACTGTCAACACTGATTAGTGGTTGCTTGCAGCCTTGTTGGAAGCAAAGATGTTTAAAAAATAAAATAAAAAAATAAAATAAAAAACTATAAATCAAATAATTATTTGGAGAAAAAATTGACAAAGTAATGCAATAATTTTGAAAATTTTTAGGTCAATGTTAATCTTTGCGTAAGTAAAAGTAAAGAAAATTTTAAAGACACAAATTAAATTTGTCAAAATAGTTGGTAATCCCTTCAAAAACATTTAGTCTGTAGTAAGTACTTTGTTTTGCAGATCGATTTAAAATAAAAATACAAAAAATTCATTGAAAAAATAATGAAGATTTACATATACTTAGCTGAAAAATTTAACTTATTGTAAAAATATTAAGGTAAACAAAATACCTTATAAATTTTTGCTTTAACCATATAACCCTCTATTAGCGTAGGTGTGTGATCTAATACTTTATTTATGTAAAAAAGTGCTTTCTCTGTATCTTTTATATAATCATAATGCTGTGCAAGATAGAATTCAGTCCATAGAAGAACAGTTGGATCCTGTAGTTCACCATCTAAAAACATTTTAATAACATTAAAAAAAAAAATTTATGATAATAAAAAAGTAATCAAAATAAAATAAAAACCTTTAGGATCAAATTTGTTACACTCAAGCAAATTTTTAGCAAAGTTGTTAACCATATTTTCAATAATCAAAACCTAAACAATATTTGAAAAAGTGTTTTCAATAATTAAAATGAAATAATGAAAAAATTAAAATGAAATAATGATTTTCTTCTTTCTTAAAAGCGTAAATGCTTACTTTTTCAGTATTCTGGTAAAGATTTTGCAAATTTTTAAACAATGGAGGGATGCCCTTCTTAAGTGCATTTTGAAGATAATCAGATAACAATTCTTTAAAAAGATTTCCTGCAAAGTAATTTCTTCATTTTTATTTCTTCATACAAAATGAAATATGTTAGAACATAATGCTTCAGAAAATAACAAATATAATAAATTAAAACATAAAATGTCAAAACATAATATATTAATATAATATGGTTAATTAAACATTAACAAATGTTTTGTATACATCTAATTAACAACTTCTTGTTTTTGAATATTTAAAAATAATAACTCTTTATACAATTACCTGATGTAAAATTTAATGGCAATCTTCTAGGTGTTTCACACCAAGGATAGCGCTTTTTATAATACAAATAAATGGCTAAGCGATCAGATTCTTCTACTATCAAAATACAAATATAACATGTATATATGAGTATAAAATGTGTGAACAACTTTAAATTTCTCACTAAATACAAACACACACATCTATACAAAAAAAAAAAAAAAAAAAAAAAAAAAAAAAAAAAAAAAAAAACTTCAATGCCAACTTTAATTTAGACTTCTTTAGACATAAGAAAAAGTGGAAATGAAAAAAAGAAGTGTTGTCAAAAAATAATAAAAGTAAAAACAAAATAATATTGAATAAATGCTCTTTATACATAGATAGTGCTGCAACCTTATTCAATGTACTAAAACACAATTAGTTTGGCGTTATCAGTCATGTTTTTAGCATAGCACATGCCTGTATATGTGTGTGTGTGTATATATATATATATATAATATATATATATATATATATATATATATATATATATATATATATATAAATGTGTAGCAAAAAAAATTTTTTTAACAAATATAAGTAAAAAGTTCCAGGTAACAAAAGAAAAACTATTCAAACTAAGATGAGTAAAATATATTTCTTAGTTAACTTTTAACGAATATTTTAAATTTTTTCTCTAACACAGAAGGCCTTTCATATAAAATCTTCAGCTGTGTATGAGATTTACAAAACAATCAAAATTATTTATATTGAACTTTCCATAAAAAGTTAAAAAAGGAAGTAATTAAGGTTTATATAAAAAAACTATAATTAACCACAACATAGTATCACTTGATTTTTGTTGGAAAGAAAATCTTTCCAACAAAAATCAAGTGATACTATGTTGGCCGACCTCAATCTTTTAGAGATTGGCAGTAGGTCAGTAAAAGAAAAAATTGATACAAAGGTCTTACCATAATAAATAGAAACAAGATTGGCAATTTTTTGCCGACCTCAAACACTTTTAGGTTGGCAGTTAGGTCGGCATTGCGGAATGCCTACCATAATTCCGATGGTTGTATATATAAATCTAATTAACTTTAATACATATTAAGAAAGTAAACTTAATTAATTAGAAAAGTCGTTAGAAAATGTTGTAAATATGTATTCTTCATTTTTTCCCTTGCTTATATTCTTATATTCAACTAAAGATTAAGATTAATTTAAAAATTTTAAAGTACCTGCTAGAACAAAATAAATATATTTATAGGATTGTGTGGCCAATACAAAAACAATTTATTCAACTTTTGTCCCATCAAAGCTGGTTAAGATTAGTACATCTCACACAAACAAAACATTTTAAGATACAAAACAAAACTATGCATAGTTTTGTTTTGTATTTTGTAAAAAAATGTTTAAAAAAAAAAAAAATGCATTAAAATGAAGAATGCTATTAATGAAGAACATGAAATGAAGAACACTAATTTTGATTTCATAAGTAAAGAAACTAATTATTATTCTTTATTTAATCATCGGAAAGTTTATCATATTATGATTCAAACTGTCATAAAATTCAAGTGCTGAAGTAAAGTTTCTTGAAAGCCTGGAGATTCTTCTTATTATTTTTTCTTGTATAGGATTAACTAAACTAACAACATTATTTCGAACAATATGTTCCAACAATATTTTTTTTTTTTTTTTTTTTTTTTTTTTTTAACATCTTCACTTCCAACAAGGCTGCAAGCAACCACTATAAGAGTTGGAAGTTACTGGAAGAGAAAAGACTAAATCTGTAGAGCAAGATAACGATTGACTGATGACTTAAAAGATTGCAAATTATATGAATCAGGAAAGCAAGATGAAGGAAGCGAATTCCAAAGAACTGATGTTCGAGGAAAAAAACTAGAAGAATAAGAGTTTTTGAAGCACTTAAGAACAGTCACAGAAAAAGGATGAGACTTAATTGAATGGCGAGTAACACGAGAATGAATTTTAGTAGATGGCACAAGGGACGCTAGCTCTTTAGAGCAGTGCCCATTATAGTATTTGTAGAAAAGAGAAAGAGAAGCAACATTACGACGATGTGACAAAGGTTGGAGATTGGCTGCCAGAGCAGGTCCAACTATGTTTACAATTCGTTTTTGCACCTTGTCTAAAAGAGAAAGAGCATCACTAGAAGATCCGCCCCAGATGTGGCAACAGTATTCCATACAGGGACGGATTTGAGATTTATAGAGATAGAGAATAGAATCTGGAGTAAGAAAGTGTCGAGCTCGATAAAGAGATGCAACCTTAGCAGATGCTAATTTTGCAATGGATTTGATATACGGTTTAAAAGAAAGATCAGAAGTAAGAGTTAATCCTAGAAGATGAATGGTAGATGACTCATCTAGTACATTACCATTCATAAATATAGGAAGATTCATAAATATAGAACATTCATAAATATAAGAAGAAAAAAATTATTACGATAACGATTGGCCGAATAAAATTGAGTTTTATCTGAATTAAAGTTCACCAGCCACTGTGAGCCCCATGCTGTAGCAGAAGTGAGATCCTTTTCAAGCTCAGATACCCCCTCCAAGCAATCAGAGAGTGTAGGTTTCTTATCACGACAAGAGTAAATGGTAGTGTCGTCAGCGAATAATGCCACCTTAGATGTGAGAATGTCTGGAAGATCGTTAATGTAAATTAAAAAGAGTATAGGGCCAAGGATTGAACCTTGAGGAACCCCTGAAGTTACAGGATGTGAAGAAGAGTGTTGTCCATCGAGGACAACTTTTATACTACGATTGGAAAGAAAGGACTCAATAATCTTAAAGACATTACCAGCTACACCATAAGAAGAAAGCTTATGGAGAAGACCAGCATGCCAAACTTTATCAAAAGCTTTAGAAATGTCAAGTGCGATAGCCTTAACCTCTCCACCTCTATCTAATGCACGGTAAAACCTATCGGTTATTACTGTTAGCACATCAGCTGTAGAACGAGAAGACCGAAATCCATATTGATGATCAGAAAGTAAGTTATTTGATTCAAGATGAGAGATTAAGTGTTTGTTGATTAAAGATTCAAAAACCTTGCTTATGACAGGAAGAAGACTAATGGGACGGTAGTTAGATGAATCAGATCGCTCTCCGGAATTTTTGAAAATAGGGATAACAGATGCTGCTTTCCAGCATGATGGAAAACAAGACTCTGATAAGCACTTGTTAAATAGTTTAGAAAGTATGGATGAAAGCTCCGGAGAACACCTCTGCAAAACTACAACAGGAATGTTGTCAGGACCACAAGCTGTTGAAGAGTCTAAGCAGGAAATTACTTTAGATACAGAAGCTGAAGTGATGCGAATGTCAAGCAAGGGATCAACCTGTTTGACGGCTATGTCAGGTAAAACGCAACTAGTGGAATCAAGAGATGATATTGATGAAAAGTTCTTAGCAAACAATTCAGCTTTGTCTTTAGGTGAGGTGACAAAGTCTGAACCATACAAGAGAGAAGGAATAACAGATTTGCCCTTATTATTGATACTGTTAAAGATTTTCCAGAAGTCTCGAGAGCCTAATTTTTGTGATGAGATACGAGATTTAATGACCTGGGAATACCGAGCTTTGGCGTCAGACAAAACCTTTTTACAATGGTTTCTGGCGATAGTGAACAGATGTCTGTTTTCTGGAGAATTGTTTTGCTGATAGATATGGAAGTAACGGTTTCGATTAGAAATTGCTGCAGCGCAATGTGAGGAAAACCAAGGAGAAGAGTGAGGCTTGACCTGGAATCGTCGAGAGGGAATAAAAGATTCCATGCCAGCCTGAATCCACGAAGTTATGTAAGAAGCACATTTGTCAGCAGGAAGACGAAAGATTTCTACCCAAGGGCCATCACGAAGAAAATCATGGAAAGAGTCCCAGTCAGCTTTAAGGTAGTTGTATGTGGTACGATGATAGGGGGATTCTGATGAAGTAGAAGAATTTGATAATAGTTTTAGAGAGATCAAACCGTGATCAGAAGTACCTAAGGGTGAATGTGGAGAAATTGAGCACTGACTAGGATCCAAAACAAGACATAAGTCGAGTAGAGAAGGTAAATGATTAGGGTTGTCTGAAAAACGAGTTGGAAAGTTGACTATTTGAGTTAGAGATTGAGAAAGGCAAAAGTTGAGGGCCTTAACGCCAGCAGAGTCACTGACACTAGAGCCAAGCCAATCGGTGTGATGGGCATTAAAGTCACCAACAACGACGATATTGGCCGATGGATAAAGAGAAAGGGCTTGGTCAATTTGATCAGAAATAACATCAAGAATAGTGCAATCTAGGGATGAAGGAGAGCGATATAGAACAAAGAGAAAGGCAATAGAGTGAAGTTGTGCTAAACGAAAGCACATAAATGAATAGTCTGTAGATTCAAACCTAGTTTCACGACAAATGGGTGAGTTCTTACGAATGTAAATGCCCAGGCCAAGCATGTGATTATTGGAGTCTTTACGAATTAAAGGAAGATAACCATCAACACTAAGATCACAAGATGGGACAGCCGAACTCAAATTAGTCTCACAAAGAGCAAGCAGGTCTGGTGAACTTTGCAAGAGATAAGACTCAACAGAAGAAAAGTTACTTCGAAGACCACGAATATTAGTAAATGATAGGTTTAGAGAACTTGGTGATGAAGATGGTTTTTTGTGTTTTTTAGTTTTAGGTACTTTAGTCATTTTAAATTTATAAAGAACTTGACTCAAGTGTAGATAGTACTCAGTACACTATTTAACAACTAAGCAATAGCCTCATTACTATTAATAAACCCTAAGCCGTAACAAAGGGCTCCAAATGTGGCCTCTGCAATGCACACCAAAAGTACAAACAGGGACACCATCCATGCGCAACATGGCACTGTTAGTACTCTGATATTTTTCGGCTGTTGATGGAATCAGCCTCTCTGAGAGCTACCACAGAGTTCGGGAAACCTGACTACCAGCCGGCCTCAGAACCATAAAACTGAGTTTTAGAGCTGTACCCTCATTAGGAGATAATAGAATGAGTTGCCCAGTCATAAAAATAGAGACACAAGCAATACCCACGCATTGAGTCAAGAAGATCCAGCGTTCAACATCCTAAACTGGAAACAATGTATTAAAAATACATCTGCGCCAGCCTAATAGATGAGGAAGGGGTGCGAGGCTGGTCAACAGATAGAATCTGTTTACCCCTTAAGTCTTTGCCTAGGAGGCCTTCTACAAGACAGCAGCTGGATGCATGTAACATCTGCCCAAGATGAGTATTTTTATCGAGACACCATCTCTAGCCTTTACTCAACTAAGAGCCTCAAGGCAGGGGGTGTTTTAATTCGGAGTTAACTTCTCCTAGCCTTTGCCTAAAAAAGCGTATCCTACAAGGCAGCAGGACATGGAGCAGGTTGTACTGGGTTACATGTTACCAGTAGCAGGAAAACCTGACCTGACATAAAATTTTACAGTAATATATTACAGTAATTTATTCCAGTATTGCCCCAACAGTTTGTTCTAGTAATTTGTTCAGGTCCATACACTTAAATTTCAGTATTTTAATTTTATTCTAGTTGTTCTATTTTGTTCTAGTAATATCTCAGTAATCATCAGGTCAATTTAGAATTGAGATCATCGTAATCACCCTGCTAATCGTACCACAGGGGGTACTGCTGCCCAAATTATTTTCCTAGAATAGCCCCGGACTCGTAACATGTAATTCAGACTTTTGGGAAATCTTTAACAGTGTCATTAACAAAGACATGTAACATTCTGTCTCTCATATGTTTAATTGTACAAGTTCTCCAAAGAATAAGGCAGAGCTATTTGCAAAGAACTCTTATTAATCACATAAGTCTGATTATCACATGCTCTTCTTCACGCTCTTAAAGAAATAAATTGAGCCACTCTTAGAAAAATCATTCCTGCTATTAACTCTTCAACAGTTTGAGACCCATGTAACATCCCTGTCGCAGTATTAAAAAAGCGATTTCCTGAACTCTCATTATTAATCTCGCAACTGCTTAACAAGTGCTTAAATGAATCTTGTTTTCCTTCCTGTTGAAAAAAAAAGTGGTATTAATATTGAAAAACTCTGGAGATAGTTCTAACCCCTCTAACAATTTACCAGTTTTCTTACTACTATTAGTCTTTAATAAATAAATTTCTTATATCTCATTTAGAACCTAATAATTTCAATACAGATTCTACTGCTAGCTTGTTAATATATTAAGAGCTGTTATCTTTGATATATCAAATAATTTTGATAAAATCTGATATGCTGGTTAACATCATAATTTCTCTTCATATGCTAAATCTGCAACAGTTTAATGAACCATACTTTCTTAACCCCAGAATTAAAGTTGTTCTTCATGGATAACATTCTCCTTCATTTCCATAAATTTCTGAGGTACTGTATTGGTCCTGTGTTGTTCTTCATCTCTTTACATAAATAGTACAACTTAATGCTCTTAGTTACTGTTTAATACGCTTAGTTACTGTTTAATAGGTGGCAACTTTTTACAAGGTCAAGCTCAAAATTCTTTTTTGCCATTTCGTTTTGCCATTTTTTAAAATTAAATTATGTATAGCTATCTTTATAACCATTTTTTATTTGTTTATAGCTGAACCTATTTTATTTACTTTTGTTTATTTAAAAAGTTTACAAATATTTGGTATTGCCTAATTCAATAAACTCCATTTGGTATTGCCTAATTTTGCTTTTTTTTTTTTTTAACTGTTGTTCTTTATTATTTTTATACACTAACAAAATTTGAGCGAATTGAACGATTAAACTAGAAAGTAAAATTGAAAATAGCTTTAATACACTTTCATCTTAAAAATGAAATAAAATATAGTGTTTCAACAAAATGATGTCAAAAAACAACATTTGTCTTTCCATCAAGAAAGTCTTATAGTTGATTTAAAAAATCAAGGCAAACCTTACAATATCCAATATCATCATTAATACGAAGAAAAATAGATTTGATTTTGCAGCTGAAATAGCTTTAAAAGTTCAAGATCACAACATCACAGTGATTCCTGTAGAGGAAATGAAAAGAAAGCTGTAGAAGTAGCTCAAAAAAAACCCATTTTTAACTGCAAAACTAATGAAACCTTGATAAGAGCTTGCAAAAAGTAAGAAAAAATGCTGATATCATATTAGAAAAAAATGTTGTGGTCAGATGAGTCAAAATACAACCTTGTCTCATTGGATAAAGTCCAGAAATTGTTACAAAAAAAGGAGAAACTTTTAAATTGAGTTGTTTGCAAGCTAGTGCAAAGCATGGAGGAGTAAATGTGATGGTTTGGGGCAGTATGAGTTGCAAAGGAGAAGGGAAACCCACATTTATTGATGACGAAATGGATGTTTCAATGTAATGTGAAATTCACAAAACCAATTTGCAACCATCTACTAAAAAATTGAGAATAGAAAACGATTTCCAAATTTAGCAGGATAATGATTTAAACAAAACAAAGTTATGTTTTGATAAAAATAACTTCTATGTTTTGGAATACCTTAAAGTCTCAAAGTCCAGATTTGAATCCTATTGAAAATTTGTGGCATATTTTGGACAGAAAAATTTGTGATAGAGCATTTAGGCGCAAGGAACCCCAAAATTTGGTCAACTCAATGCCAAATTGTCTAGCTGAGGCCATCAAAGCCAAATGAGGCCCCACTTAAAACTAATTTTCACGAAATTTGACATTATTTTTGAAACATTATTTTGAAGATCACTTTTTCTTGCCGTACCCTTATAACTAAATTTCTAAATTTTCATCACCAGTGACATATCCATAAATTTTTGGGGCATACTGGTCTAAAAATCCTGTCTAAATGTAGAGGACCTTTTTTTTTTTTTTGTAAACAAATTTAAAAGATTTATATATAATATACCTGAATCTAGTATTTTACATTTTACAACATGACATCTTTAACGACAACATTGATTCGCGGCTAGTTTTCATTTACATCATTTCATTTACTTTATTTGCATGAGAAGTCAAAATTTTAATTAACTCTTTCATAAGTTAATAATTTTTTTTTTTGTGTTATTCTCTTACTTTTCAAATCAAGTTTTTTGGCGCGATTATTGATACGTTATTTTGATTTTAATCCAATTAAAATGTGCATTTTACATTTTAATTTTAAAATGTTTAAAAATATCCGGGCATACGTAATTTTGTTAATTTTGTAACATATTCCCTCCAGATGAATTCAAATTAAGCATTCTGATTGCCCTAAAATACATTAATATTCTGTTTAAAAAGTTGTTTTTCAAATGTTTCTTTTTCTAAAGACATTAGTAACAATTTTGTAATTGTCATAATAAATTTTAGCATTATAATTATCATAACAAATTTTATCACAAAACAGCAAGACAATAAGTAATAAAGAATTGTTTTATTTTAATTTTCTTATGACAAAATTGGAACTAATATAAAATTATTTTAAATTGAGTTTGGACAGAAACTTGGGGGCCCATACTTTTTATACCGGTATAAAAATCGGCCTGGATACGTCACTGATCGTACATAAGAAAATTTTGATTTTTTTCCAAAATCTTGTTGATATTTTGTTATTGATATTCTAATGTATATTTTAGATTTTTGTTAAAACTTTAACTGTTTAGTACAAAATTTTTGGTCACAAACATATAAGATGTGATTTTTTTTAAATGTACGATTATTTTTTTTTGCATACTGTATGTATACATTCACACCAACAAACATCTTGAGAACTCAAAATGTTTGTTTGTGTGATATTAGTTGTATTATATTAGCAAAATATCAATGATATTTCGAAGCTTTGCACGAAATATCATTGATATTTTACTAATATAATATTTTATACTATGCTGGGGCAGTACATACATCCACTGAGCAGGTACAATCTAGATAAAAACATTTTTTTATGGAAATTTTTAATTTTTTTATGATTCATTGCTTTTTTTCATTGTTTTTAAAACTGGCTGGATTAAAAACCAATAATACACTTTTTTTCTTTTAGCAACACATTTTATTATTAAACAAGAGTGGCATTTTTAAGTATGAGAATTATAAAAAATACAAACTAGCTTATACAACTTTGATTTAAAATATGCTTATTCAAACAATTTTAATTTTTAAAAAAGATTTTTTTTTTAAACCAATAAAAAAACTTACAACTTTTCTGTTTAAGTGCAGAAGTACACTTTTCAATTGCTTCATAATACATATGATTTTCTGGATTGCGCTTTAAAAGATTTCGATATATCTTTTCTGCTACACTAAAATTTCCTAATTGCATGTGCTGAGACGCTAAAAGTATGAAAAATAAAATTTTAAACAATCAAATTCTTTTCATTCAGAACATAAAGGTTTGAAGTTGGACAGTTATATTGAAAACAGGTATGTATTAGTATACTAACAGGTATGCTAAAATTAAAATGTGGACAAGCAAGATCCTAAAGCTATGGTAAACACAGCTAAAAAAGAAACAACTATTCAACGTCAAAATAAAATCTAAAGGAAAAAAACGGAAAAAATTGTAAAACTTCTAACTTTAGTCAAGTCAAATAGAAGAAAAAACTTTTAAACCATGACTGAAATAATTATTTTTAAAAATCTTTTTAAAAAACAATATTTTCAAAAAACATTTCCGAAAATTTCCAAAGAAAATGTTTAAGCAATATTAGAAAAAATAAGTTTACCTTTGATTTCAGAAACTTTCAATTTATCAGTAATAAGATTTTCATATTTTTCTAAATGTTGCAAACTTTCTTTAATCTTGCCTTGTTCAGAAAGAACCATATTTTGATAAAGTAGCATCTCACTGTGTTCAAAATCAACCTTATTCTAAAATAATAAAACAAAAAAGGGTTTTTAATGCTTATATAGATTTTTTATATTAGAAAAACTAATTTCTAACAAAACAAACAAAAAGATCAAGCACGGCTGTTTCACTCAATATAAAAGCGAGCTTGATGTCACAAGAATTTTTGTGTTTAAAAAAAAAAAAAGAATTTCCGCATAAAAAGTATAAAAATTCACTAACTTTAAATTAATAGTATTTTTTTTCTATAAACGCTTTAATCTTGGAATTAAAAAAATATAAAAGAACTATCTTTCTTCGTTAAATAAATATTTACATGAAGCGAAATAAAAATAAACATTGTTAAAATATTTTGAATGATTTTGGATCACTTTTCTACTTTTTGCGTATTTTACAGAAAACCTGTCTTGGGCCAATCAAGATTTGATATTTTAAGCTACATGCTTGATGATTGAAATTTTACATACTTATAAACGAATGTCTATTTAATCAGATTTTTGGAAGGGCATAGATAAAAAAAATAGTTTAAGTTTTTTTTAGCATTATTATTTTTGTTTTTGTTTTATATGAAAATTGTTCAATTTTTGTTATGCCCTTCAAATTATTGAAATTTCAACCCTCTATGCACATGAAAATCAAAAAAATTACTTTCTGTACTTCTAACTAAAACGTCTTCAACCTTGGCAAATTTTGTTGCTTTTAGCAAAAATTTGTAGTTACATGCGTAAAATTTTTGTTTATGTTTTAAAACAATGACGTAACTTTAAATGCGTTACTTCCCAATTCACTATGTAATTAAATTTATTAAAACAGCTTTTTTAGCGAGACAAATTTTAGTGTATAAATAAAAAAAACTTTGGCAAAATTATCTTTAATGTTTCAAAAGTTATAAAAGTTTTAATAACACCCCTTACGTAAACATTTTCAAAAAGTTTAAATAGTAAATAAACAGTAAAAAAAATGAATATATATATATATATATATATATATATATATATATATATATATATATATATATATATATATATATATATATATATATATATATATATATATATATATATATATATATATATATACTTTAATATGAGTTTTAATAAGGAAATTTTTGTAATTTTTATAAGATTAAGATTTTTAGCACTTTGTTAAACAACATATTATATGTTTAACACCATATTATATGTTTAACACCATATTATATGTTTAACACCATATTATATGCACACATATCATATACATACATATTATATACACACATATTATAAACACATTCATATAATAAATACATTCATATAATAAACATTCATATCATAAAAACACATACTGAATTTTCTGGAATTATAGTTTTACGGAAATCTTCCATTACAGAAAAAGCCATATCATAGTCGCCAAGTAAATAATATGAGATTGAATAACCTATCCAAGATTGACGTTGTGCTGGACGAATCTTTAAAAGTTGGTATCGTGTATCCTAAAAATAAAAATAATATTTTTTGATTATATATTAATATATTGAAATATTTAGAACTCTTTATAGCATTTTAGCAACTTTTTATAAACTTATTTTTTATATAAATTCCATGCCTCTCTTTGCAATTATGAATAATTCTTTTTAAAATTAATTTTTGCCTGACGTCTTCAGAGTTGCCAAAGTTATTCTACTCCATTAAAAGTGTTTTTTTATCTAATTAAAAATCTAATTAAAAAAATTATTATTTAATTTCTCTTTTTTCCAATATAAGCAAAACTTTTGGAAAAGCTATTCACAATAGACTTTATAAGTTAGAAACTTCAATTTCTATGCAAACACCAGTATAAGTTTTGTAAAAATTATTCTACAAAACATAAACTTATTGAAATTATAGATAATTGAATATTATTATGAAGATAAAAATTTGGCTACAGCATAGAAAATCTCAAAAATAAATTCTAACATAAATCTCATCTTAAGATTCTTGGTGTTGAAATTTAAATTATTAGCTTGCTCATTTTTTATTTGCCTCATCTACACAAACATTTTAAAGGAGCTAGCATCAGATATAAGGAATACTTCAGAACTAACTATATTTATAGACAAGGAATAGTATTTATCTTATATAATCAATTAATGTTACTGCTTTCAAACTTATTTTTATAATTTTTAAATTTTTTGAGATTTTTTTATAAATTACATTTAATCTTTTCAATAGTATTTTAAACAAAGTTTAAATAATGCTAAAAAGTATCAAATAAATTTCTAATTTTTTTAATAAACTTTAAAATCTACTTTTTTTTCTCAAAAAATAAAAAATAAATGCATGTATGCATAGGGTTTTTCAGGTCTGAGTACCAGGACTCAGCGAGTCCACGGGTAAATACCTGGAACAATACTCGATCTATCCCTCGCAAGTCTCATTATGGCCCATATAGAGTTTATACTAGTTTTAACTATATGATATTAATTATATAAGCCCAGTTCAAAGTTTTTCTGCAGTAATATCTAGAATAGTTGTCTCAGAAAGATTGTTTTGCGTTTTTTGTACTTCAGACAATTTAAGAAAATGTTTAAGTATGCAAGAAGTTGATGTTCCTAAATTACCTACCAATATACAGAAGGTTGTAATGAACTTCAGCAAAAAAAACTTGCCAGTCAATAACTGCCAAAATAATTTCCCAAAAAAAGAAGAAGGTATTTTTCAGTCTCACACTTGACAAATTTTTTTTGGAACCAACATTTTATGAATATTAACGTAAATGGATAAGGAGGTGATGCTTTAGAATTTGGGACTGTCTTGTATTAATGGCTGATTGTGTCTGAAGGCTGTGTAAAGTTGTTGAAAAAGAAGCTCTTTTTTATTTATTTTTTATTATTCTGAATCACACCCAACAAGGCTGCAAGCAACCAGTATTAAGTTGGGAGTTAAAATAAAAAAAAGTTATAGAGCAAGAAAACAGTTGACAGAAGACTTGAAAAGTTGTAGGTTGTATAAGTTAGGAAAACATGAAGATGGGAGAGAGTTCCAAAGAGTTAAAGAGTTTTATAGAAAAGAGAAAGAGATGCAACTTTAGGACAATGGGAGAGAGACTCAAGCTTAGCAGATAGTGGGTCCAATTATGTTACTTATGCATTTTTGGACCTTGTCTAGAAGAGAAAGAGCATCATTAGAAGAACCAGCCCAAATATGACAACACTATTTCATATAGGGACAAATAAGTGGTTCGTAGAAGTAGTGAATGGAATCAGGAGAGAGAAAATAGCGAGCATGGTAAAGAGAAGCAACCTTAGCAGATGCTAATTTAGCAATCGATTGTATATATGGTTTCCATGAAAGGTCAGTAATAATAAAATAGTAAAAATAAAGTAGTAAATAATAATCTAAGACGTAAAAAAGAGGACGCAGTGAGAGGGTTGCCATTGATTAATATAGGAATCTCAACAGTATTGCAATAGTTGTTTGCAGTAAATAACTGAGTTTTGTTGGAGTTAAAATTTACAAGCCACTATGAGGCCAAATCTGTTGTTAGATCAGATTCAAGATCAGCTGCCTGTTCTGAGTGATCGAAAAGAGAAGACTTTTTTCAAGACAGGAGTATAAAATTGAGTCATCAACAAAAAGAGCTACTTTGGATGGTAGGTTGTTTAGAAGATCATTAATGTAGATAAGAAAGAAAACAGGAAAGAACCTTGAGGTACCCCAGAAGTTACTGGAAATAAAGAGTATTGCCTTTAAGGATGACTTTATGAAAGAAATGATTTGATCATTTCAAAAACTTTCCTAGATAACCATATGAAACAAGCTTATGAAGAAGATTAACATGCCAAACTTTGTTGAAAGCAAAGGTGTGAGAGGATCGAAAACTGTATTGATTGTCTGACAGTAAGTTATTTGATTCAAGATGGGATATGAGAAAATTAAAAGACTCAAAGACTTAGCTAATAACAGAAAGAAGACTAATTGGACGATAATATGAGGGGTCAGAATATTCATCTGAGTTTTTGAAAATTTGAACAGATGCCATTTAAGACCATATGATCTTTCATATGGTCAATTTTAATTTTGACAATAAGATTTCATTTCCAAGATAATTTTGAAAGACCACATCAACATATAAGGGCTCAAACTAAACATATCACATCGAGAATTACTATTGCTTTTCACACTTTTGCAATTAGTTTTTTCTTTAAAAAAATAATTTTGCAATTGGGTTTTTTTTTTCGTTGTTTATTATTATTTATTTTTTTAAACATTTTTTTTTGAAAAGTTTTTTTATTATGGTTCATAAAGTACATTTAATGTATCACTTTGCTATTTTACGCATAATCATTTATCACGCAGCTCTATCACGCAGAAGTTTACATTCAACGCAAAGCACTTTTGAATTTAAATTACATTAAATCTCTGCGTGGAAGCCAATAATATTTTAAAAGGTCCTTTAAACGAAAAGTTTAAAATGGAAAAGACGTTAAAGCGAATTTTTTCTTTCATTCTTTTTTTAACAAAACAGCCTAGTTTTTATTTTTGTTTTTAAAACGTTGCACCAAATTAATTTATTAATATTAATTTATTAATAATAATTTAAATTATTATTATATCAACAATTTAATATTATTAATTTTACTACTTTAAGTATATTAATATATAATATTAAATTTGTTTCTTTAACTTTTTTTTATAATAGTTGAGCTATACTAATAGAAACCAGAAACTTTTTTGCTTTAAAGTTTTTTGCTTTAACAACCCTGAACCTTTTAAAAGTTATATTTACTTTGATTTACTGAATGGATTAAGTATCTCACAGTATGTCACAGTAAATTTATATATAAACTAAATCAAAACAACCAGTAACATACAATTACTCAAATATCAAATTATCAACTATATTAATTTACTTAATATACTTAAAGACTCACAAAAGTTAGCCATACAAATGTTTCTATTTATATCTTATATGTTAACAAATAATATAAGCTTCTTACTAAAAATAAATTTAACAAGAAATGTTGAATAGAATATGAAAAACACGATACCATTTTTTTATATTTAAATTTTATGTGAAGTGATATCAAGATTAAACATTTTCTATAAATACAAAAGTTGTTTTAATGAATATTTTTAAAAAGAAATCTATTTAAACAAAAAAAGTCTTCTAAAATTCTCATTCAAATATTTTTGCAATTAAAATTTGAAATGAAAAAAAAAAATTAAAATAGGAAAAATTAAAAAAAATTTATAAATATATTAATAAAATTTTTTTATTTATAAATATAAATTAAAAAATCAATAATTAGAAATTTAATAACATCGGTGTCCGTAATACCTAGTGGCATAGTGAAGGTCATTCCTGAATGTTAAACATATATCTAGCTACAGTACAATACCAGACTTAAAACATAATGAATAGCAATTTTTTTTTGTTTCTTGAAAATAGTTCACGGTTTGTAAATTTGGGACCCTAATATCAATGAAACCCCCTATGAAAACCCTTTTAAGGGGGGATAGTACATAACAATGGATGGCCATACAGAGTGATTTTGAAATCCTGCATTAACATCCAATGGAGATTTTTTACCTTGAAGTTTTGAAGAAAATAAGAATTTTAAGCAACATTTGGCAGCCTATTTGTAGTACAAAAATACATTTCTGATTTTTTATCATAAAACAAAAAATGTTAAAAACATAAATTGGGAGCTTTTTTATTTTATTCATTTATTTTCTTAATGATCGCATTTAGAAGATAAACAACAATTTCTATAATTCCATTCCATAATGCTCTCCAGAGACGAATTATCTGGAACAAAATAAAGGCACTAAAATATCACAAATCTGTTAAGAGTATTCTTAGGATTTTTTTAACACTGTTCTTTAGATCTAGATTTTCTTGCTGTTGTATTTGATCACACACTTCAGGAGTTGGCTGGCATTGTCTGGATGTGAGGAATCTCGTTTGTATCTCTCCCAATGAACTTTGAAATTGGAGTGCAGAGCTTCTGTTGCCTGCTCACTGAAGAGACCCAATCCTGTTTTCTTGATTTTGATGAACTGAGGTACATGGTAAAACACTGCATGTACTTTTGGAGTAACTGAAATGGGTAGGCGGATGTAGCTTTGTTTGAACTTGGAGATCTTCGATTCATAATCAGGTTCCAAATTATTGACAAAGCAAGAAATGACCACATCCTTAAATAGTGCAAGTGTTTGCATGAAGTCATGAGCTTGACTAAAATTGTTGTATCCTGTGACCAATTGCAACTTGTCTAAACCTCTCAAGAGCTTCATGCAGCCATTCCCATTGAAATGTCCACCATGGTAGGGCTGAATAGGAATATGAAGTGAAGCTGGCCATTTCTCGGCCCCTGGCCAAATTTTGCAAAGATTTTTATACAAATGGTTTACTACTCCAAGTAACAAATGGAGCTCCATTGGAGGGATAGCTTCAAGCATAAGCTTGTGATCAGGAAAATCAACCAATGGTACGTGAATGACATTTTTG